GTAGTTTTGATTCGTTGATAGTCTGCGACTCCTAGAACTATATGTACTGGTAATGATTCTCCAATAGAGTTTTCCTCACTAAATCGTAAAGGTGACAAACGTGGCTGACTTCCCTTAATTTCGCGAATGTTAGGGTTGGCAACGTGGGTCAAGATTTCCTTCTCCGCATTTATACAATCAACATTAAACTTGAAGTGTTTCATGGTTGGTGACGAGATTTCAACAGTGTACCTTTCTACTCGTTTCTCAACGATCCCGTACATTTGTTCGATGAGCTTCTTTTCATAGCGATCAGGTTTCAAGCGTAGTTTAGTCAATAGTTCTGTACATATATAAGAACTGCTGGCTCCATTGTCGATCATGATTCGCGCGTCTACACCGTYAACTTTAGCGACGACGGTGGCGTGAATTGTTGTAGTTTTCTCAACTTCCCCCATCGATTTGTCGGTTGATGTAGTAGTGTTTTCACAGAGAGATGTGTGATGTTTGCCTCGACATTTGCGACAAACGCCAGATCTACACTTCGCGGCTGTATGTGAACTCCCAGTGCAATTAAAACACAGTTTGTTTTTCCTTAGAAATTCCTTTCGGTTCGCTATACTGAGAACCTTTGTGCAGTCATTASTTCTATGAGTGTTTGACGAACAATAAACACAAACCTTCTTTCCTTCGGTGACGTTGTTTGAGAACATAACTCTTTCCACCCTTTCGGCTTGTTCGTGTAACGAGACGTGACGCTGGTCATGTTGTTGTTTTGTGGTTTCTCGCTCGACGAGTGGATTCCTATCTACATATCGTCTTAAATGTTCCATTAAGTCTTCTAACTTCCATTCTTCCCACTTATCCTCATTCTGMACGATTGCTTCTCTGACTGGTCCCAGTTTATCGAATATTCCATAAATGTGGCTTTGTACGGTGTCGATTTTGTTCATTGTTTTCAATGTACGTACAACACGTGCGAACGTGTTGTAAAACTCGTGGGTGTCCCGTAGTCTTGTACGATTTGTTATGGTCGGTAAATTTTCAAGTTCCTTGATCAATGCYTTGTGAACCTTGATGTCCTTGCCATAGTTGGACTTCAGAATGCGTTTTGCTTCTTCGTACCCTTCTGCTGTGTGTGGTAGTCCAAGAACATCGTCGCGCGGYCTTCCTTTCACAAGTTCGAGGAGATAATTAAACTTGCTTATCTCAGATAGTCGCGACTRGTCTACTTCGACTTCGAATTGGTTCCAGAACCTTATCCAATCCTTAAAGTCCCCTTCAAATGGTGTAATTGTATATTTCTGTAGTTTAACAGCTTGTGGTTGAGTTCCTAGYTCCTTAGTTTTGTTTTGTAATAATTCCATTTCGAGTTCGGCGCGCCGTTTGTACCATGCTTCTTCTCGTTGTTGTTGTTTCATTTTCGATTGTTCAATCTCTTGTTGTTGTTGACKTTGATATCGCGCTTGTTYCTCGGCGATTTTCCGTTGACTTTCCAATTGAGTAGTTTCCCGTTGTTTTGTTTGCTCTTCCTCGAGTGATTGTAGTCTCCGTTTGACCTTTGTACGCATTTCTCGCACCTCTTTCATGTCGTCGCTTCTGTCTTGATTCCATGCACGCACGATTTCGACAGTGTTGTCTTCATCGTCCCAGTTATCGTCCATCAGTACGGTGTCCCCGTTGTCCTTGAACGATTCCAGTTTGTTTACTGATTCGCAAAGCCGTGTGTAATGATATTCGACATCCTCTATTTCACCATKGAGGAGAATATCCCTTGTTTCATCGAACGTGAGTTGGATGAGCCGAAGTTCCCGTTTAAATTGCAGTAAAGCCATTGAGTCCTGGCGTGGTCGCCACTTATTGTTGTGCACAATTAACTGGACATTTTGACGTCGGTTTTAATCAAACACAACACGGTACATCTGACCATTGCTTCACTCGCAAACCATGTGCTGTACCACACACACTCTCACACTAATGGTCACGTGCTTATCTATGAATACATAATGAGTTTTACAACATTTATATGCAAATTAGTATCTTTACAAAACGATCATTTTTTAAACGTGCAAGTATTTTGTTTGTAATAAAATTCGGAGTGATTACTAAACAAGAGATGAGCTTTTCAAATACATAAAAATTAGTCTGGGCAAATCACTCTCAGTTGCATAGAAATGAATACTTCTGGCGATAATAATCCGTTGAAACACCAAATGTTTTAAACAACCGAAATTCATTTACATTGCCTAAAATGTTCAAAGAAAATATGCTTAACCCTTTTTATTTCAATAACATACGTTTAATGTTGATTAGATGTTTATATCCTTTGAAAATTGTTGGGTTAATACAACTGACAAAATATGTGTTTACGCTGATAATTTTGACTGGAATAAGTCATTCCTACGCACCTGAAAGTGATTTGCCCAGACTTATTATTATTTCTTTGTAAAGCTCATGCCTTGCTTAGTTATCACGCCGAATTTCATTGCAAACAAAATACTTGCACATAGAAAAAATAATCTTTTTTTCTAGGT